CTAACCTCAAAAGCTTAAAACGGGAAATCTTTGTGTTGACGTGTTTCGGTACCTGATGAAAAACTCATCGTTTCTGAAAAAGTTTGCCACAAGGACTTTTTTCGTTACGTTTCGTATTTTAAAATTTTTCGATGTTTTATTTGCGTTGAAACACACTCTCCGAGTTGCGTTTGATATATTTCTTTCAGAAATTTACAGCAAAATAGGCTGAGTACTGTACTAATTCTTTTCAGTATTGGTAACGGAAAATGTCATTGGATCAAATTCGAAAAGAATAGGAATTGTTTTATGATGTAAAACTGACCATATTTAATTTGGTAATTTTTGAAATGATTAAACAATGGCGTCTTCACACATCCAAAATTTCGATGACTAACGAGGCGGCAAATTTGAAACTTCGGCGAGTGTGAAGTAATGAACAAAATTCCTCGGGGGGAGGGTCAGAGTAACATTTGACTCGAAGCGAAATTCACTTAGGGGGAGAGGGTTAAAAATACTGATCATCACCTTATCGGTTCGGTTACACAATGGTAAAGGTTGTTTAAGGTCCTTCGCGACTATTGTTCTGACTGCATTCAAAGATTTTTAAATTGCCACCTACCATTGCCGTCCACATGCAAAAGTCGTATAAATGTGTTCAGTTTTTCATATGATTTTAAAAGTTTTTAATTTCGGCTTTCCAAATCTCGCGCTACATTGATTCATTTAATTAACTAATAGACACACTCAGTAAATCACCCTTCCTTCAGCGGGTTATTTAGTTTAAAGAGGTTTATTCAGCATTTGGCGTAACTTTCCCCTCAGTACTCGGTTAAAATAGCATCGCGTCAGAACAAAAAACCTCTCTTCTCCCCCTAATATTATAAATTTATCACGCCGAAGATGAAAGGATTATGGACGGACCGTGTTCGGTGTGGTTTCCGTCGGCAGCAACGCCTAGGGCAAAAGGCTATTGTTTTGAGGAATTTGATCCGGTACAATAGCTCATTTCTTGATACGACTTTCTTGGCCGACAAAACAAACACGTATTGTAAATTTCTTGTACGTTACTTGTTTTCATGCGCCTAGAGACAAAAATGAAGCGCTTTAAGCATGTTTAAGCCAAGTCAGTTTCATCGTGAACCTTTGAGAAGGAAATTCGTTCCGACATTTTCTAGATGGTACTTTCGTCACTGAAAATTTCCCGTGCTAGCAAAAACATTTCTAAATGGTTCGCTTGGGCTTGACTTTTAGTTCTTTTAAATAAAACTTTTGCCAATGGCAAATTTTCATTTGCCAAAGCGGAACTCTACAATTTGTGGGCCACTCAGATTAAGTTAGTAAAAAAGGGGGAGTGATGAAGACGTGACGATTAGAATGCGCGCTAGCTGGTAAATGACAAACAAACAAACAAACAAACAAAAAGTGCACTTCCGCGTTATCACACAACTACATATGGCATAGCAGTGGAACTCTTGGAGAAAAATACTCATGTATTTATTTTTGTATTCTTTGTAATTTACAGAGGAAGAAGAAGGAAGAAAAAGATCAACATGCTGCTTTATGAAAGACAAAACGAGTCAACGTCACCAAGCCACCCGCTCGTACACCAAGACATACGATCAGCGAGTGGACAAGTTGCTTTTCTGCTTCGTGTTATTGGCGATAACATAGAGACGCGTTTTCGGGTTCATCGTGCGTTACATTTGGAAGCAGCTCTGACTCAAAACAACGGGCAAAAGAAACTGGAAAACATTGAACTGCTGATTGCGACATTAAAATAGCTAAAAAAATTAGCTGAGATTAACTGAGTTTGCGTGTGCTTTGCAAAGCTGTACAAGGATGTCCAGAAAAGTCGTAGAGAGTGGACTCCAAGTGCAACCTTAGACGTGAACTGTAGACGTGTGAAAAGCATGTGAAAAGTATTTATAGAGCGAAAAACATTTAATCATGATTATTTATTGTTTTTTCAAAGTTGTTTGTGAAAATAATATAGCGTGGAAAATAATCTTGTAATGACAAATTTTAGAATAAAATGAACCGCTGGCGAGTTGTGATTGGTCTCGTTAATGAAGAACAGGGGGGATGTCATTTTTGTCACTGGTGTATAGAGAAGACTCTAGAGTACAAGACCACGAGAAATCCCTTATTTGTTTCTCTAGGATAATTGAGCGTGCAAATAAGGCCTGGGATCCTTCAAATCTCTACATTTTTATTCGTACAAAATATGCAAGATTGTTGTGCGATAGTAAGATTTTTTCTGCCTTTCTGTATACTTCTCAGCTAAATTCATGTGTACTTCGCAGTTTGTTCCGCGATTACCGGAAATGTGCGAAAGGTGATTGCAAAGAGATCAGCAATACCCGCAAGAAATCCGGAAAACCAATAGTATTTACCAAATCAATGCATAGCAACTTTCGCGCGTGTTGATCGGTTCCCGTAAGTCGGAATCTCCTTGGCTATTCACTGTTTTAATTTGAGGCAGAAGCTAATGTAGCGTTTCGTGAACGACATATTAGCTCCCGAAGAAGCTGTACCAACAAATACCGAGAAAGTGACGAAATTGGACTTGTTGGTATTTACTAGTAGTTGGAAATTATTATCTTATTGAATTTGCAACAAGATGTTGCACAGTGCTAGATATATACCTCGACGCTTCGCGAAAATGGCTGGAAAATATACCGTGGCAACTACACTAAAAAGATCCAACGCCGTTGAAAGGCGAACACAACCATGAATTGTAAATCTTTTCAGCGCATTTTTGTGTTCTTTTATTACGTTTCAGTATTAACTGTTTATTTTACCAAAGAGTTAAAGCTAAATGACAGTCAGACATTTCATTTTTAGTGCTTCTAAGCCAAAGCACTTTTAACAGTAACTTCGTTCGAAAACGCACGCGGGACCTGGAAATTAGTGAACAAGTTGAACCTTCAAAAGGCGGTCATTTATCTATTTGTGAAACTATTACCAATAGTAAGAGATCAATTATGAAAAAGTTCTTTAAAAAGGTGTGGGCCCAAGGATTTTTGTGTGGGCCAGATTTACAATGGGTTTACGATTTTCCCGTTTTGGGAAATTTTTAAGAAGAGATTAAAAAGGGACTTTTTAAAGCCTCATGCATCCGTCTCCGTCAAAAGCTGCACGCGTTGACTACCGTTCGCTAAACAAATATGTGCGCTCACAATAGCCATTTTACCCATGACCAAATAGCCGTTGCCCATGGGGAAGCAACTATTTCTGTGTGACCGATTTCCTCGCGAAATTTCCATGGATTCGTCAAAAAGAACAAAAGAATTACCCATGACAGTTCCCGAGGTACGTTCTATTGGGCAAGAAAAACCCAGAAGCGGCCCAACCAATCACGAGAAAGTGAAATATACTAAGCAGTAGAAATCACGTGTTGTTTACGTGCTGAGTTCGTCTTGGCGACAAACCCTACGCGAAAACTGACCTCAAAGTTCGAAAATTCAGCATGATTTTGAGCACTGTTGTGGATGTTTTTCAAGTTTTTACGTAAAATAAATTTAAAAGCACTTTGAAACACTCACAAGTTTTCTTTAAATAAGTGTTCAAGAATTCTTTTCTTATGAGGTCGTTGCAATCATTTTAGTAAACCCGTACTTTTGACTTGTGAGCGAGAATTTAGGCCAGAATTTGCTTTTCTTTTAAGCGCGAATGAAGTCGACGTCTTCCTTTTTAGTCTCAAAATTAAGGGCTGGATCGCTCTTTCCATGCAAGTTTAATTGATGTGGCGGTTTTACTGAACAGGGTAAAAATGGTCGAAACCGTTTACGATTTATCTCAGTCTTCAATGTTTACAACAACGTTTCCGTCGAAACAGGGTTCAAGTTTTTTCTTCCCCTTGGTCAATTTTGTGAACGCAAACATGAAAGTGCGAACCTAGCCAACATCGCACACCTTTATCTCCGTTCGCTAAGCCAATCAAAATCCGCACGCGTTTATCTTCATTCGTTAAACCAAACATGCCGCACGCGTCTGTCTCCGTTCGCCAAACCAATCAAAAGTCGTAGGAGTTTACCTTCGCTAAAACATTAAAAAAGCGTCATGTATTTGCCTTCGTTCGCTAAACCACAAAAAGCCGTACGCGTCTACTACTGTAAAGAACCGTGTCAGCTTCCCCAAATCAGACCAAAGAGAGGCACACGACTTCCTTTCCTTTTGCAAAAACACTGAAAGTGGTGCATATAAGAGAACAGACTAAAATGGTCATTACATAACCAACCACAGAAATGAATCAAAAGTTAGAACTACACTGACACAACACTATCGGCTTCAAATTTAACCACCCAGATTGAAATGGAGATTGCAACGTAATTCTAACTTTGGAGACTGTGGGTGAAATCCTATGGATTCACCAAGTAAAGGAAAAATGCTTCGTAATTCATTTGGAATTTTTCCTTGAAGTTTGACGTTGAGAGTTGTCCAATGCTGCGACTGAGTTCCATTGAAGACTCGAATTGATTCCATTGGACTCTTTCATCTCTATTTGCGGGAGACATAAAAATGTCAATTATGGTGTGTAGTGTAGTGTGCTTTTCCCAGGCTATGAATCAAGACAAGAGGCATACTGCAACATGTGTAGGATACTTGTCTCAGGTCATGGCCTAAAAAACGAAGTACTTTAGGACTTGACTTCCGGTAACTCCAGTGGATTCTAGCTGTTGATAACTGGAGTCCAATGGAGTATACTGGACATAAATACTGGAACACAACCCACCTACCATAGCTTGTCACTAAGGATAAAACGAAATGATTCGTCCAATGTAAGTTAATCCAAGACAGTTTTGGATTCTGGATTCGCTTACGGGTCGTTTCGCCACAAAGTCGTTTCGCTGCAAAATGAAGTCAATTCGCTGCAAAGTCGTTTCGCTGCACCATGTCCGGGATGCAATTGATTTTTGTATAACACCGTTTTAAAGACACTTAGAATTAACTTTAACTACCAAATGGATAATACTAACGAGTTAATTATCAAGGGAATTTACTCTAGTATGTAGCGAGACGAAAAATGCTTTGCCACGAATCGACTTCATTATGCAGCGAAACGACTTACGCTTTATAGCGAAACGTCCAGACACCCTGGAATCCAAATAACACCTGTGACTGGATTCCAGATTCCTTGTCATGGGACTTAGTGGATTCCGGAATCCAGTCATTAGCGAGATTCAGGGTGCCTTGAGCTGAATTATGGACTCCAAAGCCCAGGATTCTAGATTCCACAAGGAATTTCCTGGATTCCGAGTTCTACAAGCAAAAATTTCAAAGATTCCGAAACCTGTTTTAAATTACATGGGGCGAAATGATAAAAGAAGAGCTAACTATAATGCTACAAGAAACCGGTCATTTCGATACAAATCGTTTCGATACGAACTCAAGCAATGGAATTACACAAAAATTTCGTTAACTTCGAGTAACGTTTGCGCGCCAACAAGAGAAACATTTTGGGTGAATATTCTTCACACTTCAAGTATAGTTTTCGCGTAAACAAGAAAGACATTTTGAGTGATTACTATTCTTTTTTGAGCCAAGGGCATGAAACGTTTTACACCTCGACTGAATTAACTTGTACCATGACGACTGGTATCAAAATGACTTTGTATCGAAACGGCTGGTAACATTCCTCAGGTCATTCTTGCTGCTACTGCGCCAAAAACGCTGGTCATTCATTCCACTGCATGCACAAAGGCGGTCGTGTTTTTCATGTAAGTGAGAATTGAATTGTTCATTATTACTTCCCTGAAAAGTAGTATTGTTCTTGTTAAGAGGTCTTCTTCCAGATTCCTCCCTCTAAGTTCCTATATGCTCCAAGATTAAAAATGTACTGTTTATGCTTCATTTTATCCGAGCACCACTCATTGCGGCCTTTCTCATACGTGCACTTGACACAGATAAATTGCAGGGTGTCCCCGAGGCGAGAATGCGCAAAAGTGCATCCAGCCGGTGCTTTACCCTCGACATGGCGCCAGCACTCTTCGGATTTATCCGATCCCCGTACGCGTACACCATGCCGCATCCGTCCCTCGTTATCCCAGAATATTGGCTTGAACGCTACCTTTTTCCCAGTTGTAATGTGTTTGCCGTCTAGCGGTTTCCAACCCTTTTTGGGATTGCGGCTCTGCATAGCCTGTTTGTACTCGGGTGTTTCAGGTAAGCTATCCAAATATCCCTGCAGTGTCTGCGGACCTACAATCTGTGGGCTTGAGGATAAGCGCGCCACTCCGCTCTGCACGGATATATCATCACATTTTGAGAACTGACTGGGTTCTGTCTTTTCTAAAGGTACAGATCTTGTAGGTGGGGGATGTCGAGGTAGGGGGTGACTGTTAGAGGTGGTTTGAATCCTTTGCGAAGACAAACTATAATAAGGTGGGTGTTCCGTAATTGAACTGTAGCTATGTTGACTGTCTTGGCTGAGACCTGCGCTGTCTGTAAACAAGTAATAAAAAGGTGAACTTCAGGTCAAGTTAACTTCTTCTACCCAAGAGCGCACCACGAAAAATTCTCGATAGACTGCGAGCAGTCTCTCATATCTTTTTTGAATGACAATAAGAGCTTTAGATTCTAAGACGAGGACGACTACAATTACAAGATTTTCTCAATACCAAGCAGTGCTCACGCGTGAACCAGCCTCATTTTGGCGGGAAAAGGTGATAGCCGTCGTCATTCTACTACGAGTTTTAGCGAGAATGTCGTGTTAGCGGACACAAGTTATAAAGTGTTAACCTCCTTCACTCACGATAACAGTGCTAATTGTTTTGGTGAAAAAGATGTACAAATGAAGCTATTCGGGGCGTCTGTTATTTGAGAATACGCGAAAAAACTTTAAGTTAAATCTCGTACTCGTAGTCGTTCTCGTCCTAGAAGCTAAAGGTCTCTAACAGATTGAGAGCGTGAGCGAGGAGCGAGCAGCAAAGCTGTCTCCACCCCAGTCTCTCCTCCGTTAACCCTTTTGGTCCCAAGAGTGATCAACATCAATTTTCTCCTAACGTCATCAGTAGATCAAGTGTAAAGGTTATGAGAATTACTAAATTGATCACCAAAGGGAGAATGCTTTGATCTTAAACCAAATTCTCTCAACTGTTCTTAAAAGAAATGTATAAAGATCAGTCAGAAGAATTTGTATGTTGATCTTGGGGCTTAAAGGGTTAACAGGGTTCATGCAAAAAAATTGCAATGATTTTTAAAGGACTTTTCAAGGGCCTCATTTGATTTTCAAGGACCAGCTACCAGGAATGTAATTTCGCACATTGTCAAAAAATGCACATTCTCAGTCCATAAGGCTTGAACTGTTTCCTCCCCCAACTTCTCTACATTTTTCAGTTCACCTGTCTTAAATTGATAGTTAATTCTTGCATAAGACAAAAAACGTTTTAAGTAAATCACTTTGAATGTCTCTGAGCTATGATTTACATGTATACAGTATTCTGCCTTGGAAAACCAAACAGCATTAAAAATCACTTTCCGGGCCACCTCATTCAAAGTTGAAGAAAATTCAAGGACTTTTCGAGGACTTGAAAAGAAGTTCAAAGACTTTTTAAGATTGTGGGAACCCTGTTTAAGCCATATATTTGCATAAATTTACTTTTCCAAGTGCTCTGAGGAAAGAAAGACAACCGCTTAATTTTTTCTATTCTATTTGTGCAATCATTTAATACTGAGCAAATAGAATTATAACAAAATACACACATCACCACCCAACCCCCTGACTCACCAGAATTAAGTGCCGAAGCATATGAATGCTGAGTTTCCAATTCCATGTTTTCAAAGTCTTTAAGTGACTGTTCAATTTCCAGGTCTTCTCTCTCATCAACAATATCCTTGGGTGATGACGGAAGGCTAGCAGATGTTCTACGATGTTGAGTTGGGTTGTGAGAAGGTACAAGAAGGGCTGGTGTTGGCTTTGCGACATGATTCGCATCACCAGCCTCCTGATTAAACATTATAGCGGCTTGACTGGCGACAGCTTCTGATACTACCATACCTGCAGGAATGCTTGTTACGGGAGCTTGTAAGAAGGCACCATACATATTGGCAGCATAATCTTGGTATTGACCTAAACCCCACATCTGCGCAGTTAAATAAGGATCCACTTGTTGTGCACTATAAGCTGAATTTAATGACCCAGAATGGGTCTCGTTATGTCCCCCAGCCAGCTGGGCAGCATAGTGATTAAAGATTTCTTGTTGAGAATTCAAGTTCATTTCTGAAATTAATTTGCTATAATCCGCATTTGTTAACACTGGCATATCGTCATCAGTCTGTGTACAGGCATCAGATGTCTCTGCAGTGACTTGAAAACATTTTTCTGCTGTTTGAACCCTTGCTTGATGTGTTACTTGTTCTATGGGAACCATAAAACAAAGTCAAAGTTTGGTGTAAAAATAACAAAGAAGAGATGATTATTAAACATTAAAAGAGGTGGGTCACAAAATTAACCAAAATTCAGACAGTGGGAGCTGCACTATTCTCCCAGGCAGCCGTTTTTGTCTCGTCACGCAACACTCCTCCCAGCATTGCGTGACAAAACAAAAATGGGTGTGAGGGAGACTATTATCTGTACCAACCTGAGTGAAACAAAAAAATAGCCGCTCAAACCGTTAGAAAAAGATAGAAGTAACACAGCAAATACAAAAGGAGTCATGGATAGACAAACTTGAAGAAAATTGAAACATTGCAGGGTTTTCATTAAGAGGCGGGGACCGGGGACTTCCCCCAGCTACTATGAATGTGGCCCTCCGGCTACTTTCATACTAGGAAAATAGAAGAAACATAGCACTAAAAGACATCCCTAGCTGTTTTATTCCCCCGCCTACTTGCAAAGTTTTCGAAAACTTGGTAGCCTAACAGTTTTTTAAAGTTTATTTTCTGTGGTTTGTAACAAATTTAGATGTAATGCTTCTTGGAGATAATAGTGAACTTACGCAACAGGACAGGAGAGGAAAGACGACGGCAACCCTTATGAGACAAGCGTGACAACAATTTTGTTTGCAACAACTTTTCGCCAAACTTCACTTTCCTTTTAAACAGATCTTTTTGTAAAGGACCGGAAAACACTGATGTTAAGAGAAGATCATGACAAAACACGCAAGTAATAGCTCTGTCACATTTGTCACACACAAGTGTTTTGCCGTCCTCTTCTTTCTACCCTCCTGTTGCGTAAACTCACTAACATTTGTTAGACAGGAAGCTGTAATTTAGTCATTCACAAGTAATTTCTCAAGATCCATTGCAAATAAGGACATGTAATTGGCATTATTAACAAAAATGAACTGGACAGCCGTGACAAGGCATTCATGCTCATCATGCCCTTTTCTCTTCAAGGCTGGATAAGCTCTAACACTTAAAGCTAACAACCGCATAACCTACCTTGATAAGTATAACCTTTACTCCACAATTTTATGATTGGAATGCATCTACCAATAGGTATACCTATTTCCTGTATAGAAAAGAAAACATTTATCTACTATTTATACGTTTATTCCTCTGAAATAGAACCTGAAGTGAGATTTTTGTTTTGAAAATCGACTCAAGGTTTTAAAAATTGAAATTTTTTGTTTGCCAGACTTGCACACCAGAAACTGAAAAAATAATACTATCCCGCCCCCACTTTCATGTCTCCTCCCATGTTCCTCTTGTACATCTACTTTTCACGATATCCCCCAAAGGACAGCCTGCTCCGTCCGATTTGTGTAAAGAAGGAGACAAAAGTCAGATCTTTTCTTTAAAGTGTTCGACCTTCGAGCTCGGGTAGTTGAATTACACTTAGTCAGACTTTGTTCTCGCTTTCACTTCCTCTACCTTCTACCGGAGAATGAGCTCAACAAGCAAGTTGACGAAAAATTGTAAGCAAATTGCAAGAAGACACGTAAAACGCAGTATAAAGCTCATGAAGATAAATACTATGATATGCCGAAGTTTACTCTAGGAGTAAAAATTTTTCTGTTCTTACGGAATTCAAGCAGAAGGTGCACAGAAAGATTCACTTGCTTTCTTCGCTACAGTGATAGTGAGATTTTTTATGCAAAATTGACTATAAAAGGTTTTAAAAGTTGAAATTTTTTGACTGTTAGACCTGCACATCAGAAACTGAAAAATACTACCAATTTTGAACTGTGAAACCAGATTGCGTTGTCCATCATGCAACAGAAGTGGACATTTGTTAATAAATTCTTAAAACATAACTTCTTATTCTCTCAGTTTTTGTTGCTCTTTAATAAAACATCTTGAAGCTCCAGAAAACAGCAGACAAGGCAGAAATCCATAAAATAAACAGCTATCTTGGTTGCAGCCTAAGTGCAGTTTAAACTGTGCAACACATCATTTTGGTTCCCCATGCTACAAAAAGTCAATCACTCTAGAAACAGGGTGTCTGTTTCAACGAATATATAATGGTGTAATGATGTCAAAATATGTTTTATTTTCTTGTCGCTAATTTCAAATCCATGCATGTATACAGTTTACATGTTCTACCAAAATGACTGGTAGACCGAAAGTTTGTCTGAACAAAGTAAAATGTTCATCTTGGCTGGACATTGTCTACTGTTGACTGGCCATTATTTTGAGCCCTGATCATACGTATAAATAACTTTGATAAGTCTGCTAATTAAAGCACTGAAGAATGTAAACGTTGTTAGTAAACCTGTTCACACATAAAATCAGTATTCAACCTATTATGACTCAAAATTGGCTTTGTTTCCGAGCCCTATTTATTAATAGTTGTTAATGCAAACTTTCCTTCAACCTGAGAACAGATTTTACCCACAACATACACACTTAGTGTATAAAACCCACCTTAAGAAGCTGTTTAAGTTCCTCTTCTGTTTCTACAAAACTCAATGTCTGGTCCTTTTAAAACCAAAAAACATTTTAGGATAGGTGTTGTTTACTTTCACAAGAAATGTTAGCATTCAGAAACGAACTTGGAGAGTATTGTGTTTTTATTATGATATTGTAAAGGAAAAATAATATTACCTGAATACAGTGTTCCTGAAAAGTTTGTTTTAAGTCCGCCATACCCAGCTGATCCAGAACTTTAAAAATTTTCTGGTACAACTCTGAATTCCCGTAGGAATGGCTGTGGTAAAATGAATTGGCCTGCATGACCTGCAAGTTTAATACCGGTAACAGCGGTTTTATCACTGCCAATGGCAAATCCAAACAAAGTTCCAGATAATCAAATGGCCATGAAGAGTTTCATTTGAATAGCCACAATGGAGGAACTTTCAAAGAGATTCAGTTCATGTTAAAACAAAACAATACAGTAAACCGTACTGGCCTCCTAGCACAACGGCCACTTTTTTGGTCCTGGCGGACAGTTCATATATTTACTGTTGCTTAACTCTCTCTACAACCACCAACAAGGTGGCCATTGCAAAGAGGTTTAACCGTACAATTGAACAGACACCTTTACAGACACCTACTTAATATAGACACCTCATTATGACAGACAGTTCGCTTTGCCCCTTACACTTTCTCTAAATTCAACCCGCTTAATACAGACAACCTGTTAATACAGGTACTTTCAATGAGCCCTCATGCACAGTTTCCTTATTAAAGGGGTTTGACTGTCTTTAGACCTTTCAACCAATGTACTGAAAATACATGATCATCTGATCAGTAATGCAGAAAACAAATTTCATTAGGCAACTACAAATTGGCATTATGGAGACACAGTTGATCCTCTTCACAAAAGCTACCCTGGGGACTGAAGAAAGAAGCTGTTGTAGAGAGGATTAAATAAGAGTCAATTGCTGTGGTCACACTACAGACTTTTACCGACGTAAAACTGATTTACCTAAGGCGAATTCATCAAAAATCTCCCAAGGTAAATTCTTATCGGGTTTTGTTTTACCTAGGTAAAAAATTCTGGGAAGGTCACACTACTGATTTCGGCTCCCAAGGTTTTCAAGCACAGTTGAATTTTTTGGAGTATAAATTGAAGAAAGCAAGATGCACAGTGATCTAGCCGATCAAAGAGACGTTTTTTTTGTTTTATCTCACTGTTATTTCTTACACTAATTCAACGTGCAAGGTGAAACAGGCGAAGACGTAGATGACTCATGCCCCAAGAATTTCTTTCACCGCGTGAGCTATGTCCAGTTCTGTCATCGCCGATGAGTGTCTAAAGGCTAGCAACGTCAGTATTTCTTTTTTCCCAAGCTATCGCTTTGGGGTAGTCGTCAAGGGAAAGTCTATTGTTCTCGAGACATATCCAAGCCACAGATGATAAAATTTCCCTGAGGTAAGTTACCTAGGGAAAAATCGGTGACACTTAAAAAATCAATTTTGCCTAGGTAAACTGTCAAAAAGTCGAAGTTACCTAGGTAAAAAGTTTGTAGTGTGACCCCAGCTAATGTATGGACAGTCCACCAAAAAAAGTGGCCATTGTAGAGGGGTGGCCATTGCGGAGACGTACCCGTTAGTGGAGGTTCGACTGTATGTATGAGTCTCTAGACAAAAGTATGAAAAGCAAGTACAAAAACAGTACAATCTTTTGTAACAATTATCAATAACTTTCACAATAATTTATTGACAATTATATTATTATTTAACTTAATACCTTGTAAATAGTGTAAAAATCAGTTTGAAGCTGAAGCTAAAATCATAAATCATTTTTTAAAGAAATGGTAAAAATTTAAATTATTTAGTGGCAAAATATAGTGCTTTCGAAAGAGGAAAACAATTTTTACGGTAAAATTTTCACAGTCGGTGAAAAAGTTGCGAAAGTTTTTGCATCATGCAACAAGAAGCTTCATCAGTTAAATCAATCCCTCGAAATTTTCCAAGATATTTAATATTTTGCTTTGAAGTGATGATGACAAAATTTTATCTTTTACGTTTTATTTCTAAATCAGACCCTTTCAAAACTTATGAGATTTCAAACAATTCGCCAAAATAAAGACATTTTCTTCTCACTGCGATATGTTTCGTTACTTCCGTAGTGCTGTACAGCCATTTGAAAATTTCAAATTTGAAACGGACAAGGTTAGTAGTAATCACGGCTAATTTTCACCGAAAGACTGAAATATTAACTCACCGTTTGAGGATGAAAGTTTTCTCCTGTTTTTCTTAGTATTTCGATTTCCAAAATTCGATCTGAAAGTCCGCAAATTCAGCTGCTTTTTCTACCAGACAAACAACATTCTTTCACCAATGCACGCCGCCATGTTCCAAAAATTCTCGGGGAGACTGGGAATCTGATGAGAATCCGCTGAAAGCAATTGTATCACGGGCGTTTGAAACACTACCTGTATTCGGTTTCAAGAGTTATAGCAACAGTTAAAAAACTTTATTCATACAAATTTTCGGTTCGAAAAGGTTCTTCGTTTTGCGATACAAAATTTCCAATCGTCCGCGCGTAAACAAGGGAACAGGAAAACAAGAGAACAGGGGAACAGGAAAAACAGGGAACATGCTAAGGAAAGAAAGGAACAGGGAACATGAAAACGGGGGGAAAGGGAACAAAGGAAAAAGAGAACCGGGGAAAAGGAAACAAGGGGAAAAGCTGAGAAAACAAAGGAACAGGGAACAGGTAAACGGGGGAAAGGGGAAGAAAGGAACAAGGGAACAGGGGAACAGGAGAACAAGGGAAAAAGCTAAGGAAACAAAGGAACAGGGAAAAGGCAAACAGGATAACAAGGCAACAAGGGAACAAAGGAACAAGAGAACAGGGGAACAGAGTAACAGGGTAACAAGGAAACAAGGGAACAGGGTAACAAGAGACCAAGGGAACAAGGGAACAAAGGAACAAACGAAATGTTTTTTGAAAGTGCTGGCCGATGGATGAACTTGCGCTTTTGTTTTCCTCAATTCGCTGGTGTAAGTGGCGAGATGTGTAACCAACATAACCTGCATCGCACAGGTCACATTCAAATTTGTAAACTAGACTTTGCTGGTGTCTTAGCTCATCGCATGTTAAGATCTTTTGGCTGACAAGCGCTGGAGTTACTATTAGCTAACAGTAGCGTAGTACATTTGTAGCGATCACAGACTGTGATCAGGTTGTATCAAGCGATCGCTTAGAAGAGGTTAAAAACAAGGGGGAAACCGTCATCTTAAAAGGTGGTCGCGGACCCACGTTCGCTTTAACCGCGATCAGGTGTTCTTTTTTCGGGGATAGAGTCGCTTCCAAAAAAAGGACCGCCTGATCGCAGGTAACGACGCTTATACGAGAAGTTCCAACGATAAGGCTTTGACTTGTATGCTCAGGGAATTTTTTCCCATTACCGTAGAGGTAATCGCAATTGGAGGTTCAACTGTACAAGAAGCGACGGACGACTTTTAAACCACCAAAGTTATAAGCCATCTTTAATAAACTCTGGATAAATCTAATTACCTCCAACGACTTTGGTTCAAATTCATTGCTCGCTTGCTGTTACCTAGTTGATTAATTTTGTTTAGTCTTTGCACCCACCCAAAATTGCTTTCAAAATGACTTCGCTAAGTCCAAAGTTTGTGCTATTTGCCAGCCAAAACTCGTGACGTTGACAAGGAAATGTTTCCCCTGTCTAGTTTATTTTACACTTAATGATTTTGTCAACTGCAACGAAGTATCTGCTCAACACAAGTAACAAAATAATAAACTGATTTCTACAAGGAACAACATCCTGCATTAAGTATTCTGGTAATAACCGTAACACGATCTTGAAAACTGCAAGCCCGCAGGGTGCTTGTAAAAATTTTCGTAATTTGTAATTGTATTGTAATTTGTTTACCCACGGAGCACTAAGGAGTTCATAAGAACTCGTTGAAACGTGTCCGTGCGTTCCAGATCGAATTGGAATTTTAAAGTGTTGGTTTTTAAGGAGAAGGGAAAACCGGAGTACCCGGAGAAAAACTTCTCGGAGCAAGGGAGAGAACCAGCTTGATCCCTCCTATAGCCTGTATTGGTGGGATTTGATAGATTGTGCTAGCATAAGTCATTAAAAGCATAATTTTCATCGATTTTTTGAAAAAAAAAACTCCGCTTGCAGAATTTGCCCTTTATTTTGACTAGTTTTGCCGCACAAAATTGTCATTTATCGATCATGCATCGCAGTTACCTTTTTTGGGCTCGTCATTTGTCTGTTGGAAAGGTATTTAGCTGTTTTTACCAAATTTGAAGACGTTAGTAAAAGTAGAAGCATGATTTCTGCATTTTTTGCCAAAATGAGCATAATTTACAAAAACTAGCATAATTATTGGCATAATTTAGACATATACGAACACTGCTAAAAGCATATTATGCTATTTTTGGGAACACAATCTATATCAAAGCCTATGGATGACTGGGGAAGATCTGAATCACTCGCTATTGTAAGGAAACCGAAAACTTTCATTTCCATCAGAGCACCCGAGGATACCTATTTGCTCTAGAATGTAAATACTGTTGAGCGGTGATAATTAGATAAAACTGTAGAAACAACTAGCCTTTCTTTCCAGGACAATTTTGGGCAATTTATACAAGACTAAATACTGTTTTCTTCCATGAAAGGGCAAATTAAAGTGACGGCTACATTTCTGCAGTCACTGGGACCTTAAAAGGCTTGTCAGACGTCAAAATTAGTTTATTCTTGATATCTAGTTCAGGATATATGTAACATGCCAAAAATAGAATCGAAACAATAACTTTTATTGCTCCAGAAGTCAGCAGTCGGCCAGTAACCAATGAACCAGAAGAGATGGCGACGGCAAGAGAAGACGCGAAAACTCAGGAACTAAACCTCATCTTTAAGTCTTTAGGAGAGAGAGGGAATGAAGGTGATATATGGAAGGAATTTACCGAAAATACTCTGTGTTACTTGTTACAAAAGATGCCTGAATTTATCAGCAAAGCGTTTCCAAACAAAAGTATCGGTGTCATGTTTCGACTTTACGGAAGTGCCGTCGAAGACTTGAAAAGCCTAGCAACGGATGATATTGGAGATCTGGATATCGTGATCATTCCCAAATCAGAAGATTTGTTCATTCACGACGAAATGATCGAATATTTGCCGCAGCACCCTCTGCACGTTAGAATCAAAGGCAGGAATCACCCTCTCTTACAGTCCTGTCTTGTGGAAGACACGCCTTACGTCGCCACTTCAGCCATCAAGAATTTCCATCCTGCGATTTACGGCACATCAGCGTCTCATATGATAAATCATTTAACTCGCGGCATTCAGATAGGATCTCGAGAAAATTGGGGCCAAGTCGTTGGGGAATGGAAAAAGAAAGAGGACGGACCGGCTCTTCAGGTGAAGGGTTCCCAGTCATTTGGTCCTATTTCTGGGGAGATGAAAAGGATGAATAATCCTCAGAACTTGATTAATTGCGACCCAGCTGAGTGGGACTGGTTCGCTCAATTTTTAACCAACGCCAGTGGATTTGAATATAGTAGAGAACACGCAGAAATTTTGGGCGAATTCATGACATTTGCCAATGATATACAGATGTCCTGGCATGAGAGAGGTCTCCTAAACCAACCTCAGGCGCTCCCCGGTTTTGTGCAAGAGCTGATTTCCAGCGAGCGCGTTAAGCAGCTCAGGGAACGAGTTGTCACTATTCAGCAAAGTAGTCATAATCAAAACGAAAGCGAACTGAGTGGAGAACACTTGGCGGAAGCGGAACAGCACAGTAATGATCAAAGTGTCACGCCAGGAAGCTGTCACGGAAACGAAACAGGAAGTAAGAAGGATAAGGTCTTGCAAGAGGCTTCTCTCTCTACCAGTGAGTCATTCCTCACTCCAAAAAATTCTCGTGACAGTCATAACACGGCCGAAAACTTAGGTACGACTTTAAGTCAATCAACGATGAGAGAGTTGTCAGAAAGCCCTTACCAGTCAGCACAACACACCATGCCAAAGAAAGTAAGTGAAACAGGTGTAAACGAGAAAAAAGAACAGGGACAGAATGAAGACGGCACCGACGAGAGTGAAAGTGAGTCTATTAACACAGCGAAACCACCCTTTGCAGAAAAAGGGGAGCCTAGCTATTCAGATTTCAAGAGTGTTTCAGGTGAAAAAAACATCCTTTTGGAACACATATTTCGACCTTTCAGTCAAGAAAGCAAGGCTCCTTGGAAAAAAACAGATGCAAAAGACGGCAAGAAAGCAACCATTGCGGGTGGAGCTGATTTAGTTCCTGCCCTTAGATGTCCTGGGTGGCCGCGAGTTGCAAAAGATTGGATCAAACGAAAACGAAAATGGCCTTCACCTGACGTGATTGACAAAGTTGTCCAGGAGGGCTTCCATTTAGTAGTAAAGCCTCCGAAGGATGGCGGAAATCCAAAATGTGACTTCAGAATTGCCTTTAACCATGCAGAATACCTGTTAAGCCAAGCGATGAATGACATTCAGCGCGACTGTTACCGATGCTTGAAGAAATTTCATCGTGCTTTCCTCAAGGATCCAAAGGGTTTGGTGACATTTCACTTGAAGAACCTACTTCTGCAAACAATCGAGGAAACCGGTGCCGAACTGTGGATCGAAAGTAACAGAGTCGAGTGCGTGATGAAGCTCTTCGGAAACCTTTTGCAGGCTCTCACAAAGAAAGAGTTGCCACATTTTTTTGTGAGATCTTACAACCTGTTTAGTGAAGATTACATTGATGATCCCGAGATTCTTGATGTATTGGCTAGAAAAGTTGAGAAGATCATGGAAAATCCCATGCAATCAGCTAAACAGTTGATTCAGAAAGAGGCATCTGCAGTTCAAGCACCGATGGAAGAGAAAGGCATTTTAAGCAACGGACTGGCAGTCAAAACTGCTTCCAAAGCCGACGGATTTGATGGCCACATGGTGCTACCAAGTACTCTAAAAAGGGACGACACTCGTCCAGTTAGCAGCTCGTCAAGGCGGAGCTATCGCTTTCATGATCTGAAAGATGCCTATCTTGCCAGCAGCCAAGAGTTAACTGCCATGGCTTTTAACGCTGATGATCTCACAATTGAATCCCTCGACCCTCTCACAAGGTCCTTGGTAGGTGATCTCAAAGAAATGATCAAAACCCACAACTTAAACGCTGCAGAATTCCGTAGAATGTTTGAAGCAATCTGGGGCGCAATCTACTGGAAAGTTTGGTTGAATCCTGAACCAAACATGAGGCTCCGAATGCTTGATGCAATCCAAGGTGTGGTTGAAACGTGGAAGTACATAATGAAACAAGACGACTTTGCACCGGAGAACGTGGAAGCCCTAGCTGAAAGATTGCTTAATCCAGACCCTGAAGCCGATCCTTTCGACTTGACCAACCTATGGCCAGCTGGTATAGGGACCCAGCTTCTCACCCGATTTTTCAACAGTTTGACTCCAAGTTCAGCTGATGAAACCAAAGAGGTTAATCTCGATAAGGACATTCCCCTGGACTGAAGTAATGTTTATATGTGGACATGGAGCCGGATCGACCGCACCTTGCTCGTGTCTTGTACAGTGCTGACATTCATTTCGGTTTCGACTGTTTTAAATCAGTAGTAACCATGGGTTTTGCGTCCAATATAAAAAAGGTGAATCATTAAGCTAGTTTAAGCCTATGTTCACACTCGGAAAGCTTTTGCGCCGGTACTATAACCATACCCGGGATAGGGCAAGTTCTGTTCACACATCAGAACAGTGATTTCGGCGATTTAGTCTGAAAAGGAGCAAAGCTGCGCAGCGCCAATCTCTGAGTGGAGAGTCGAATTTCGGATACGCGGTATAGCGGATAGCTTTTTGTATCGGTATAGTGCTAACATAGTAACCTGAAATCAAACTTAACATATGCAGGCCAGTCAGGCAACCGCAATGCCCGTTTTCACACTAGAAACGGATAATCCATCTTCAAAACTGTTTTGACGGTTAGCAAGATATACAAAGTCAGGCGGATTGTTCATCCAAAATTAAAACCATTCCATTTTCAAATTAAGACGTATTATGTTTCTGACGCGAATTATCCAGGAATAATCCGTCTCTATTGTGAAAACAGCCAGTGTATAATACGACTAATAGTACATAGACAACATTATTTGCAGCAACATCCACGTTTAAGTTTTAGAGTCAATCCTCCTTAATACGGATACCAAAAAGGACAGGAGAGGCAAGTGTTCGAATCAAAAAGACGTCCGTATGGGGCTTTGGCAGAATACGTTGACATGGTACAAAAAGAACGACGTATAGGGGCAACAAAACAAAGAGAACAAAAAGCTAATATCCTTTCTTTCCAAGTTCCCACATGCGTCGTTTGCCATCCAGCAATTGAAAAAGGGCCCATTACCGTAGGTAAGAATGTTATGAAAAGAAGTACTCCTTGAGGAGTAGTAGCTCTAAGCCTTGTACTGAGATTGTTTGATGAAAATCAGAGATTGTTTCCCTGGATATTTAAGTTCGTTTTTCTGAAAATTGGGCTATATGTTTTTTAACCGGTGGTTTGTTTTAACCTTGGCGCCAGACTCAGAGCGCTGTTTTGTGTCACGTGTACGTGTGAATGACCGCGACGGTTCCGCGACAACGAGTGCGGAGGATTCGTGTTAAGGCATGAGCCCATGTTCCTATCGTCAACATCAAGATACTTAGATTTTTTTGGCGAGAAGGTACTTGATCTTATTATTCTTTCACATACGATATGGTACCAGTTTTAAAGACGCTTGGTCTTTCTCCCACATCGACAAGAACAAGAAGCAACATTTTTAAGGACCATTTTGACCAAACAACACCTTAGTGCCGAAACATTGCTTTTAACTGCTATAGTCAAGCCAGGTCAAGCGTAGCTATCCCCCACCCCCCGAAGATTCCATTAAAGAATAGATTATTTGAAAAACGAATCCGTTAGTAGTTGGCGCAACTTATGTCAAATTCAAATATGCATTCCTGCATGCGTCATGAGCAGTGAATTTTTTAAAGACAACCGCTCTGTATTCGGTCAAATGGATAAAAATGCTTTGAGGACATTTACATCAAATTCAAGAAAACTGAGCTGGTAGAAATGTCATAACTACCTGGTGTATGAATAGACCTTTTCCGCATTCCTGTAAACAAAGGCACCAACTCGAGGCTCAGGTGGACAAAATACAGTGGTTTGTATGAAATTGTCCACCTGAGCCTCGTCCTCATTTCTTTATGTTTGCTCACTGGGGCGTAATGTGGGAAAGGTCTATTCACTGCTCATTACAGGAACATACAGGAACGAGAGATGAAACTGATTCAACATTCGAATAATACATTCATAAATGGAATCATACGCTTGTCCTGGCTTGACTGTAATGGCTAGTATTTTGATCAAAATCAAGCTTCGACTTGCGAATTAGCGGCCTAAAATTAAAGAGCAACGACTATTTATCTATATTTAGTACCTCTTCTTCCGCGTTAAGGAGCAAAAATTAACAAACATCCACCAGGTGGCCACCTCTTCACGAGAAACTTCACAGTATTGACAGCTGCCAGTTTAATGGACCACACGTTGCACAAAACGAACAACCTAGCCTAATTTTCAAAACGGAAACGCCGATCAGTTTCAGAAACAGACCCTTATTTTCAAAAACAAACTCCGATTTCCGTAAAAGAACTAACTTCGATCTTCAAAAACAACTCCGATTTTCGAAAAAGAAAAACAACACTCAAACTCCGATTTCCGGAAAAACAAACTCCGTTTCCTGTAAACACTGATGTTCTGAAGCTTCCATGTATTTATTGGTAGGAATTTGAATGAGTAGGAAAACAGTCTACAGAAAATGTAATGCGTAATTAAATAACGAACTTAATGTTTAAACACGTCATTAAAATACGACAATACATATTATTTTTAAATATTTAATATTGGTGTGACGAGAGGTCCCTGATTAGGCGTGGCGAGGATTCAACGACGTTTATCTTCAGATTCGGTACAATCGGCCATTTTCACGCGAAACTGATTTCTTCGTTTATATTCCGATTCAGATAAGACTTTAATATCCTCTGGTCAAGCTTTTTGGAAACAATGTTTGGAGCTATGTATCTTCTTTTGCTGCAGGATGTTTAAAATCTTATTTTTCAAACGTTGTTTAAATGGGTGTGTTGATAAGTGTTATTGAAGACGTCCCCCACCTTGCTGGACGTTTGCGTGTTTGGCGAACGTGGTTTATTCATGGGCGTCACAGCAACTAAAGCTTAAATGACATGGTTCTCTTTAAATCCATTTAAATCGGCAATTTTCTCACCAAACGGATGTCCGTGTTTATTTTGACTAAAAGAAAATATCAACATTTTGGAGACAAGGCCAATGTTTTTGGGTTGTGATTCGATGGCGTGTTTTTCTTCTTTTCGGAGTTATAAGGGCGTGGTCCGCAGTACTACCGGCGTGTATTACCTGCCCACGCAACAATAAAAGCAATATTTCATTGCGAAAGTATATGTTTTTTCGAGGGCGTCGCTTAGAATGTTGCGTTAAACGCATGTATAGTATAAATATGGGCCAGCAACAACGCCTTTTTTCCTTATCAACCAGATTTCTGAATTTACCTTGGCCCAGGTAAAACTCTTATGCTTACTCCGTTCAATCTAGAAAAGGATGCACTCTTGACAAAACTATTTACAGCCATGTAGACTTGTTTTGTTGTTTGATTTGCGTTAGTATTTTCTTCGGATCTGAGTAGGCGTGGCAGAAAAACTTTCCCGCCCACGCTAATGGTAACCAGGTAGCTGGGTTAACCTATTTTCGAGTGTAGAAAAATCCAACACTTACTGGGTTTCTTAATAGTATAAAAAAGAGAAAGACCAACGAAATAAAACAACAGACTTGAAAACCAGTATCCCTCAGAACCAAATAACAATCCGTGGTTATAAGGACATCGTAAAGGAAGAGTTAGACCTAAAATTGTCATAACGGCAGTTCACGTTTCATCAAACAAGGCGCTAATGATGGAGAATTTTAGTACGCAAGACTATGTATTGCCAAGAAACAAAACCGGGAGACAAGAACGCAGAGGAAAGAACTCAATCTTTAATAAACTCTGGATAAATCTAATTACCTCCAACGACTTTGGTTCAAATTCATTGCTCGCTTGCTGTTATCTAGTTGATTAATTTTGTTTAGTCTTTGCACCCACCCAAAATTGCTTTCAAAATGACTTCGCTAAGTCCAAAGTTTGCGCCATTTGCCAGCCAAAACTCGTGACGTTGACAAGGAAATGTTTCCCCTGTCTAGTTTATTTTACACTTAATGATTTTGTCAACTGTAACGAAGTATCTGCTCATCACAAGTAACAAAATAATAAACTGATTTCTACAAGGAACAACATCCTGCATTAAGTATTCTGGTAATAACCGTAGCACGATCTTGAAAAATGCAAGCCCGCAGGACGCTTGATCCCTCCTATAGCCTGTATGGGTGGGATTTGATAGATTGTGCTAGCGTAAGTCATTAAAAGCATAATTTTCATCGATTTTTTGAAAAAAAAAACTCCGCTTGCAGAATTTGCCCTTTATTTTGACTAGTTTTGCAGCACAAAATTGTCATTTATTGATCATGCATCGCAGTTACCTTTTTTGGGCTCGTCATTTGTCTGTTGGAAAGGTATTTAGCTGTTTTTACCAAATTTGAAGACGTTAGTAAAAGTAGAAGCATGATTTCTGCATTTTTGCTAAAATGAGCATAATTTACAAAAACTGGCATAATTATTGGCATAATTTAGACATATACGAACACTGCTAAAAGCATATTATGCTATTTTTGGGAACACAATCTATATCAAAGCCTATGGATGACTGGGGAAGATCTGAATCACTCACTATTGTAAGGAAACCGAAAACTTTCATTTCCATCACAGCACCCGAGGATACCTATTTGTTCTAGAATGAAAAAACTGTTGAGGGGTGATAAAAAGATAAAACTGTAGAAACAACTAGCCTTTCTTCCCAGGACAATTTTGGGCAATTTATACAAGACTAAATACTGTTTTCTTCCATGAAAGGGCAAATTAAAGTGACGGCTACATTTCTGCAGTCACTGGGACCTTAAAAGGCTTGTCAGACGTCAAAATTAGTTTATTCATGATATCTAGTTCAGGATTTACGTAACATTCCAAAAATAGAATCGAAACAATAACTTTTATTGCTCCAAAAGTCAGCAGTCGGCCAGTAACCAATGAACCAGAAGAGATGGCGACGGCAAGAGAAGACGCGAAAACTCAGGAACTAAACCTCATCTTTAAGTCTTTAGGAGAGAGAGGGAATGAAGGTGATATATGGAAGGAATTTACCGAACATACTCTGTGTTACTGGTTACAAAAGATTCCTGAATTTATCAGCAAAGCGATTCCAAACGAAAGTATCGGTGTCATGTTTCGACTTTACGGAAGTGCCATCGAAGACTTGAAAAGCCTAGCAACGGATGATATTGGAGATCTGGATATCGTGATCATTCCCAAATCAGAAGATTTGTTCATTCACGACGAAATGATCGAATATTTACCGCAGCACCCTCTGCACGTTAGAATCAAAGGCAGGGATCACCCTCTCTTACAGTCCTGTCTTGTGGAAGACACTCCCTACGTCGCCACTTCAGCCATCAAAAATTTCCATGCTGCGATTTACGGTACATCAGCGCCTCATATGATAAATCATTTAACTCGCGGCATTCAGATAGCATCTCGAGAAAATTGGGGCCAAGTCGTTGGGGAATTGAAAAACAAAGAGGACGGACCGGCTCTTCAGCTGAAGGGTTCCCAGTCATTTGGTCCTATTTCTGGGGAGATGAAAAGGGTGAATAATCCTCAGAACTTGGTTAACTGCGACCCAGCTGAGTGGGACTGGTTCGCTCAATTTTTAACCAACGCCAATGGATTTGAATACAGTAGAGAACACGCTGAAATTTTGGGCGAATTCATGACATTTGCCAATGATATACAGATGTCCTGGCATGAGAGAGGTCTCCTAGGCCAACCTCAGGCGCTCCCCGGTTTTGTGCAAGAGCTGATTTCCAGCGAGCGCGTTAAGCAGCTCAGGGAACGAGTTGTCACTATTCAGCAAAGTAGTCATAATCAAAACGAAAGCGAACTTAGTGGAGAACACTTGGCGGAAGCGGAACAGCACAGTAATGATCAAAGTGTCACGCCAGGAAGCTGTCAGGGAAACGAAACAGGAAGTAAGAAGGATAAGGTCTTGCAAGAGGCTTTTCTCTCTACCAGTGAGTCATTCCTCACTCCAAAAAATTCTCGTGACAGTCATAACACGGCCGAAAACTTAGGTACGACTTTAAGTCAATCAACTATGGGAGAGTTGTCAGAAAGCCCTTACCAGTCAGCACAACACACCATGCCAAAGAAAGTAAGTGAAACAGGTGTAAACGAGAAAAAAGAACAGGGACGGAATGAAGACGGCGCCGACGAGAGTGGAAGTGAGTCTATTAACATAGAGAAACCGCCCTTTGCAGAAAAAGGGGAGCCTAGCTATTCAGATTTCAAGAGTGTTTCAGGTGAAAAAAACATCCTTTTGGAACACATACTTGGACCTTTCAGTCAAGAAAGCAAGGCTCCTTGGAAAGAAACAGATGCAAAAGACGGTAAGAAAGCGACCATTGCGGGTGGAGTTGATTTAGTTCCTGCCCTTAGATGTCCTGGGTGGCCGCGAGTTGCAGAAGATTGGATCAAACGAAAACGAAAATGGCCTTCACCTGACGTGATTGACAAAGTTTTCCAGGAGGGCTTCCATTTAGTAGTAAAGCCTCCGAAGGATGGCGGAAATCCAAAATGTGACTTCAGAATTGCCTTTAACCATGCAGAATACCTGTTAAGCCAAGCGATGAATGACATTCAGCGCGACTGTTACCGATGCTTGAAGAAATTTCATCGTGCTTTCCTCAAGGATCCAAAGGGTTTGGTGACATTTCACTTGAAGAACCTACTTCTGCAAACAATCGAGGAAACCGGTGCCGAACTGTGGATCGAAAGTAACAGAGTCGAGTGCGTGATGAAGCTCTTCGGAAACCTTTTGCAGGCTCTCACAAAGAAAGAGTTGCCACATTTTTTTGTGAGATCTTACAACCTGTTTAGTGAAGATTACATTGATGATCCCGAGATTCTTGATGTATTGGCTAGAAAAGTTGAGAAGATCATGGAAAATCCCATGCAATCAGCTAAACAGTTGATTCAGAAAGAGGCATCTGCAGTTCAAGCACCGATGGAAGAGAAAGGCATTTTAAGCAACGGACTGGCAGTCAAAACTGCTTCCAAAGCCGACGGATTTGATGGCCACATGGTGCTACCAAGTACTCTAAAAAGGGACGACACTCGTCCAGTTAGCAGCTCGTCAAGGCGGAGCTATCGCTTTCATGATCTGAAAGATGCCTATCTTGCCAGCAGCCAAGAGTTAACTGCCATGGCTTTTAACGCTGATGATCTCACAATTGAATCCCTCGACCCTCTCACAAGGTCCTTGGTAGGTGATCTCAAAGAAATGATCAAAACCCACAACTTAAACGCTGCAGAATTCCGTAGAATGTTTGAAGCAATCTGGGGCGCAATCTACTGGAAAGTTTGGTTGAATCCTGAACCAAACATGAGGCTCCGAATGCTTGATGCAATCCAAGGTGTGGTTGAAACGTGGAAGTACATAATGAAACAAGACGACTTTTCACCGGAGAACGTGGAAGCCCTAGTTGAAAGATTGCTTAATCCAGACCCTGAAGCCGATCCTTTCGACTTGACCAACCTGTGGCCAGCTGGCATAGGGACCCAGCTTCTCACCCGATTTTTCAACAGTTTCACTCCAAGTTCAGCTGATGAAACCAAAGAGGTAAATCTCGATAAGGACATTCCCCTGGACTGAAGTAATGTTTATATGTGGACATGGAGCCGGATCGACCGGACCTTGCTCGTGTCTTGTACAGTGCTGACATTCATTACGGTTTCGACCGTTTTTGTGAATAGTAACCATGGGTTTTGCGTCCAATATAAAAAGAGGGTCCCCAGTAGGGTTTTTCTATCCCGTAATCCCGACCCAAATTTTCGGGCAATCCCGTAATCCCGAGGGTTACTTTTGGCATCCCACCTCCCGCGCATACTTTCAATCCCAAATCTCGCCCCGATTTCCCTTTAAAATCCCGAATCCCGAGCCTCAAATAAGGGAAATCCCGCATCCCGAACAACTTATTGGAGACCCTCTAAAAAAGCTGAATCATTAAGCTAGTTTAAGGCTATGTTCACACTGGAAAGCCTTTGCGCCGGCACTATAACCATACACGGGATAGGACTTCTGTTCACACATCAGAACGGTGATTTCGGAGATTTAGTCTGAAAAGGAGCAAAGCTGCGCCGCGCCAATCTCTGAGTAGAGAGTCGCATTTCGGATAGGCGCTATAGCGGATAGCTTTTTGTGTCGGTATAGTGCTAAAATAGTAACCTGAAATCAAACTTAACATATGCAGGCCAGTCAGGCAACCGCAATGCCCGTTTTCACACTAGAAACGGATAATCCATCTTCAAAACTGTTTTGACGGATAGCAAGATGGACAAAGTCAGGCGGATTGTTCATCCAAAATTAAAACCATTCCATTTTCAAATTAAGACGTATTATGTTTCTGACGCGAATTATCCAAGAATAATCCGTCTCTAGTGTGAAAACAGCCAATGAGTAATACGACTAATAGTACATAGACAACATTGTTTGCAGCAACATCCACGTTTAACTTTTAGAGTCAATCCTCCTCAATACGGATACCAAAAAAGGACAGGTGAGGCAAGTGTTCGAATCAAAAAGACGTCCGCATGGGCGTTTGGCAGAATACGTTGACATGGTACAAAAAGAACGACGTATAGGGGCTACAAAACAAAGAGAACAAAAAGCTAATATCCTTTCTTTCCAAGTTCCCACATGCGTCGTTTGCCATCCAGCAATTGAAAAAGGGCCCATTACCGTAGGTAAGAATGTTATGAAAAGAAGTACTCCTTGATGAGTAGTAGCTCTATGCCTTGTACTGAGTTTGTTTGATGAAAATCAGAGATTGTTTCCCTGGATATTTAAGTTCGCTTTTCTGAAAATTGGGCTATATGTTTTTTAACCGGTGGTTTGTTTTAACCTTGGCGCCAGACTCAGAGTGCTGTTTTGTGTCACGTGTACATGTGAATGACCGCGACGGTTCCGCGACAACGAGTGCGGAGGATTCGTGTTAAGGCATGAGCCCATGTTCCTATCGTCAACATCAAGATACTTAGATTTTTTTGGCGAGAAGGTACTTGATCTTATTATTTTTTCACATACGATATGGTACCAGTTTTAAAGACGCGTGGTCTTTCTCCCACATCGACAAGAACAAGAAGCAACATTTTTAAGGACCATTTTGACCAAACAACACCTTAGTGCCGAAACATTGCTTTTAACTGCTATAGTCAAGCCAGGTCAAGCGTAGCTATCCCCCACCCCCCGAAGATTCCATTAAAGAATAGATTATTTGAAAAACGAATCCGTTAGTAGTTGGCGCAACTTATGTCAAATTCAAATATGCATTCCTGCATGCGTCATGAGCAGTGAATTTTTTAAAGACAACCGCTCTATATTCGGTCAAATGGATAAAAATGCTTTGAGGACATTTACATCAAATTCAAGAAAACTGAGCTGGTAGAAATGTCATAACTACCTGGTGTATGAATAGACCTTTCCCGCATTCCTGTAAACAAAGGCACCAACTCGAGGCTCAGGTGGGCAAAATACAGTGGTTTGTATGAAATTATCCACCTGACTCTCGTCCTCATTTCTTTATGTTTGCTCACTGGGGCGTAATGCTGGAAAGGTATACTCACTGCTCATTAAAGGAACATGCAGGAACGAGAGATGAATTTGATTCAACATTCGAATAATACATTCATAAATGGAATCATACGCTTGTCCTGGCTTGACTGTAATGGCTAGTATTTTGATCAAAATCAAGCTTCGACTTGCAAATTAGCGGCCTAAAATTAAAGAGCAACGACTATTTATCTATATTTAGTACCTCCTCCGCGTTAAGGAACAAGCAAAAATTAACAAACAGCCACCAGGTGGCCACCTCTTCACGAGAAACTTCACAGTATCGACAGCCGCCAGTTTGATGGACCACACGTTGCACAAAACGAACAACCTACTGTAGTCTAATTTTCAAAACGGAAACGCCGATCAGTTTCAGAAACAGACCCTTATTTTCAAAAACAAACTCCGATTTCCGTAAAAGAACTAACTTCGATCTTCAAAAACAACTCCGATTTTCGAAAAAGAAAAACAACAAACAAACTCCGATTTCCGGAAAAACAAACTCCGTTTCCTGTAAACACTGATGTTCTGAAGCTTCCATGTATTTATTTGTAGGAATTTGAATGAGTAGGAAAACAGTCTAAAGAAAATGTAATGCGTAATTAAATAACGAACTTAATGTTTAAACACGTCAATAAAATACGACAATAAATATTATTTTTAAATATTTAATATGGGTGTGACGAGAGGTCCCTGATTAGGCGTGGCGAGGATTCAACGACGTTTATCCTCAGCTTCGGTACAATCAGCCATTTTCACGCGAAACTGATTTCTTCGTTTATATTCCGATTCAGATAAGACTTTAATATCCTCTGGTCAAGCTGTTGGGAAACAATGTTTGGAACTATGTATCTTCTTTGGCTGGAGGATGTTTAAAATCTTATTTTTCAAACGTTGTTTAAATGGGTGTGTTGATCAGTGTTACTGAAGGCGTCCCCCGCCTTGCTGGACGTTTGCGTGTTTGGCGAACGTGGTTTATTTTTGGGCGTCACAGCAACTCAAGCTTAAATGACATGGTTCTCTTTAAATCCATTTAAATCGGCAATTTTCTCACCAAACAGATGTCCGTGTTTATTTTGACTAAAAGAAAATATCAACATTTTGGAGCCAAGGCCAATGTTTTTGGGTTGTGATTCGATGGCGTGTTTTTCTTCTTTTCGGAGTTATAAGGGCGTGGTCCGCAGTATTACCGGCGTGTATTACCTGCCCACGCAATAATAAAAGCAATATTTCATTGCGAAAGTATATGTTTTTTCGAGGGCGTTGCTTAGAATGTTGCGTTAAACGCATGTATAATATAAATATGGGCCAGCAATAACGCCTTTCTTCTTATCAACCGGATTTCTGAATTTACCTTAGCCCAGGTAAAACTCTGATGCCGACTCCGTTCAATCTAGAAAAGGATGCACTCTTGACAAAAATATTTACAGCCATGTAGACTTGTTTTGTTGTTTGATTTGCCTAAATATTTTCTTCGGATCTAAGTAGGCGTGGCAGAAAAACTTTCCCAACCACGCTAATGGTTACCAGGTAACTAGGTTATCCTATTTTCGAGTGTAGAAAAATCCAACACTTACTGGGTTTCTTAATAGTATATAAAAGAGAAAGACCAACGAAATAAAACAACAGACTTGAAAAACAGTATCTCTCAGAACCAAATAACAATCCGCTGTTATAAGGACCTCGCAAAGGAAGAGTTAGACTAAAATTTTCATAACGGCAGTTCACGTTTAATCAAACAAGGCGCTAATGATGGAGAATTTTAGTACGGAAGACTATGTATTGTCAAGAAACAAAACAGGCAGACAAGAACGCAGAGGAAAGAACTCACTGCCCACAAAAAACACGAATTTCTTCGAGATCGACGCGACCTCGCCTCGCAGACATCACAGCTTACCAGGACAGATTGACTTCAAAGATGTTCCATATGAAAGGGCTGTTTTAGAAGCTTATGGAGTTATTCCCAAGCAGAAACGTTCGTTAACGTTTCTACAAGAAAAGTTCAATTTCACAGCGGAGTGGACTACCGCGCAAGAATCCTCAAACGTCAGATATATCATAGCCAGCTTTTTGGGATAGCAAAGTGCTATCATATCAAAGACTCGTTATGCGAGTGGACAAACATTAACAGATTAATTCTTCGAAAGACAAATGTTTCTTAAGTAAACGATTTTCGAAAAGTACTTAGGTACCGGTGTAAAGTATGTTTTTTAGTAATACTTATGGTGAAAATATTCTGTGTTGACATTCGGATGTCTAGATAAGCCTAGCCTCGCTAAAAAATAACCTCATCGACCGCCTTTTTACGGTTAAAAGGGTGCTGTATGTTGTTTTAAGGTAAAGCGTTAGTGTACAAAAGTGAATGTACCAACACATTTATTTCATGAACGTCAAAAAATAAATACAATAAAATAAGAATGAACTTCCATAGTTTTCTCTTGCGGCACCAGGGACAAATTTATAAGTAAGAGCCCGGAAAGTTACTAATGTTAGTGGAAGCACAATAGTCAAAGGGTAGTCTACTACCATCTAAGGGCTATATAGGCCACAGTGTGAAGGGTATGGTTTTCAAGCAGTTTATTCTGGGACAGGATATCGAAGAGAGAGTTTGGGTCAAGAATAGAGTATCATTTTCCACGAATTGGTCAACTGCTTGAAGATTTGACTCTACACTAGGGAAACTAGGACGTGACACTCAC